CTTCGCCTAAAAGCGCTTAAAAGCGCCCAAAATGCGAAAATTGATGAAGGAATGAAGAAATATCGAAGTAACGCAGTCATAGGACTGAGAGACGCCGTCCCCGCGCATATCGTTGACTGGGGTCCCCCGAGCTTCCGGATCAGTATGAACGCAGCCTAACAAAGGCAAGAGGAGGGGTTTCGTAACCAAAATCTCACCATATAGAAAACTTTAGGTGTACAACAGATGCATGTAAAAATTTTGAAAAACTTATGTGAACTAAAAGTTTTGCCTGCCTCAAGTGGGCATTAGGTGGGCAATTGCCCACTAATTTGAAAAATAGTTGGGCACGCTCTTCTTTCAGATAAGTTCTTCATAATTCTTCATACATTGTTCCCTAGTCCTACTGCGCGTATACACACAGTCGCGCAATTTCGTCTCTGCGCTGCAAACGAGCCATTTTTTCCATTTTCTTGATAAGGGAAATTTTTAGAAAATAGCTTGAACTTTCAGACACATAATTTTCCAATGAAACTTGTAAGTTAAGTCCTGCAGGCCCGTGTTCATGTACCTACCAAGTTTCATACCGTATGGTCATCTGTGCGCTGCAAACGAGCCATTTGAACTCACATTTCATTTACCAGTTTTGCATTTTCGGAAAACACGCTTATTACGCCTCCCATTCACATAAGTTTTTCATAATATTTCATACTTTGTTTCTACTAGCCTCTGTTCGTTCGCTTCGTAATTTGGTGCTATATCGTTACGCCTGCATTGAGAACTGATCATGGAATCATGCTGTTCAATGGCATCGCTTATGCGACGTCGCGCACGCGGCAATTAGCGGGGGCGCGGCATGGCGCGCGCGAATTCCGCTGTGCGTTAAGGCTTATGAAAACTACCTCCCACTGAATTAGATGTATAAGGTGATAAGCATGATACGACCTTCTTTTGCTTGCACATGAAATCTTCTTCCGGGGTTCCACCCCGGAACCCGCAAAAACGATTTCCCCCTTGCTTTTTCTACCAGAAACGATTTCCAGCTTGTCATTTGCCCACCTCGTGTCGGGCTTTGGGCGACTTTCGATTGAACAAGAACGATACGTCTGGGACGACAAACCATGGAGACTGCCTCATGCTCTGCAGCTATGAAGCCAGGACAGATTCACCAAAAGAAACTTGAGCATTTGACATAATGACTTATAATAACGGGCTAAGAGTGTTTACTTGTTTTTGTGTGTGTGTATGTGTGTGTCTGTCTGTTTCTCTGTAACGAAATTCACAGAACGAGTCGCGGATAAGGTATCAAGTCGCAGTTTTTTGCCTCTGGATAAAAGGATAAAGGATTCGGCGTCTTCAATACCCTCTGAGGGCATGCGCCGAACGCACACACTAACTTCATAGTCGAAGAGGCAATTGTATGCGTGCGAGCCTATTACAGTGACTTGCGGGGGCCAGCCGTTTCCAAGTCATTGCTTTTTTTGCACAACACACAAATGACCAAAATTCTCTCAAGCTACGATAACGGCGCCAAAACAATTTGGTTGTGTGAATGATAGGTTTGCCACGGTTTTACATGATCATTTTAGGAAATTTTTGCACAGGGATGTAGGTTACGATATTATCTTTATGACGACTATCAAGCCAAGAAAAAATTCAAAAGTGTTCTATCTGCATTTGTTCTCCATCTTTCAAAGTTTCATACACACAAAATCACAAATTCTCACACGAAAAAAGCTTTCGGAATGAATAGTTGACGATTTATTCGTGAAGGCAGGCATTGAGCGGTAATGTTATGTTATGCGAGAATGAGTAAGGCATACAGATAGGAGAACCAGTGCGAGTCTCTGCGAAGCACAGGTCAGGCGCACTGGTATGAAATAACATGCAAATGAGTTCATCGATATACAGGAAACGGAGACTAGGAAGAAGGTGAGAATTTCGAGTGATGGAACCACATCATTGCTTGTTAGAAAGTTCCACCAAAGCGTTAGCGTCGTCCATCCATTATTGTATCTTGTTGTTTCGCATGAAATCCTATCACCTCGACTAGCCAACCTACGTCTACGCCCTCCGCGTCGTAATCATCATTAACAACGTCATGAATGCTTCCCTCCGACATGAGCAGCTGATGAGCAGAATTAGAAGCTTTCTACAAGGACGTGGAAGAGATCGTTTGCAATGAGAAGTCCTTCTACAATTTGCCGTAGGCCTTCAATGCGAAAATCGGGGTGCCACTAATAGACGAAAGAGTAACGAGTAGTTTGAATGAGTTTTAGAACAGAAAGACAACCGTCTCATTGGGCTTCTCTCAGTTGCACAACTTTTCCAAGGAAATTCCATAGAAAACTGCTCGAGAATGAGAATCAACCAGCGGAACTAATCATGCGGAAGTAGACAGTATTTTCATCCCAAAATGGAGCTTTTTCCTCGATGTCTGAGCAGTTCCATTTTGTGCAGTGGCTCCAGTCACCGCCTCCTTCGTATTCCTTCGAATATCTCGGTCTTCTTGCTTTTTCAAAGATGCTCCTCTAAAGCTTGCTGCTGCTGTGCTATCAGTCGCTCGAAATGGGTTGCATTTTTATGGTTCAAAGCTCCTCGTCTTTCGAGCAATTCCTTGATGTCTTCGGAATGCGTTCCAACTTCTTCATCGAATTCATTGATGCGCATTCTCCGCCAGGTCGCAATCCTTTCAAAAGCCGGTTGTAGTGTAAGGTCCTCCACCTGTGACAGCATAGATTTTCTTCTTGCGACACTATGACAGACCTTACCTTCAGGCTTCGATTAAAGCGTAACAAGTGTCGAAGGGACCTTTGTAACTATCAATATCGCTGCTGTTGAAGTGCGCACGCCATCCAGACCTCGAAAAGAATCACGGCAACAGCAAGTTTATGCTTTTATGGAACTTCTGCAAGGAAGACCGCCCAAGATCCATGTGTCACATCTAACGTCTTAGCTTTAGAAGGGAAGGCTCCCCGATGGAGAATCTAAAAAAATCTTTTCCAAACGGGGGCAAATAGAAGGATCTCAGAAACTATCGTCCAGTATGTGCGTGGTGTACAACCCTTTCTACAAGACTGCTCGCGTATCAAGGGCACTGGATGGAGCACAACTCCAAAAACAAGCTGGATCGCAAAGCCTCCTGCTGCAAGTACCAATCCAGACGGTTCCGAGGGTTTTGGAAGTTTGCCGAAACACGGACTGCCTCTCGTCCTAACCTTCGCAGATTACGAGACAGCTTTGAACAATATCGAAACCGACGGCATCCTGTCAGTACACGATTAAGGGATAAACTCCGATTATATGAGGACACAAACCGATTGTAACAGGGAATGCACACGACGATGCCGTTATCTTATCACCCTCTCTAACCATCGCAGTTGGGAGGGGGACCGATATGGCGACACAAACTCCCCGAAGCTGTTCATCGCGACCTTGTATTGGGTGAGTTACAGGGACGAGGAAGGCTATAATTTGATGGGAGATTATCCCAAACCTTCGTTTTGCGGACGACATCAATATATTTTCAAGCAGTATATCAAAAGCAGAAACTGATGTTCAGGAAAAAAACAAAGTAGGAAAAAAGATTGGACTGCGGTTAGATTTGAAGAAAATTCAGTTCATGAAGAAAACCTTTGCGAAGACGCGGAAATGGGACTGGAAAGAACCCCCATACGGAGACGTCTTCATGCCTGTATCTAAGAGTTCGCTCAACGTAGTGAACTATTTGAGGGAAACATATATTGGGAGAAGAAGAACAGCCCGAGCCTTCTTCAAGCCTGTAAAGAAGCCACCGACCAACTGACAAACCCGGAGCTTTGGGTCACCTATTCGACTTAGTCGTTCTCCCACCTCTCCGTTGCGCAGCTGAAACTTGGCCGACACTGTAGCCACGTCGAAAACTTTACGAACTATCCGCAGAGCGCTTGAGCCTAGTCTTCTGAAGATGACCTAGGGCAGAGGTATAGTTACTGCATAATTGGTGGTCCCTCGTACCCCCTATGCAACGATTAATGTGAGTATTGCTCAGCCGTGGCTCTGTTTCTTTCCTTCTTACTAGCTTCCAATCAAATTGTCTTTTTTGTTGACGTCTGAGAAAGGAGCTCCTTATGTAATTGACTTTCTAGGTTCTGACGAAGGCGATTGCGCCCTAACGTTGGGCGAAGTTACTAAAGAGAAGTTGCCATCTTGGTCGTGTTGTTCAACATCATGCAACATCGTTCAGACGACAGATGGACACTAAAGATTTTGGAATCGACTTCCCGCACCAGGAATTCGCGAACACAGCCACCCGCATTAACCAAGAAGATTGCGGATTGACTATGCGTGGTGCTCTCTCGCGGCCGCTACAGTACAGCTTGTTTAGGAATTGTAGGATCTTGCAAGTTGCAACGAGGAGAATTCCTCCTACGAGAGTCCGGCGACAGCTTTTGGAGGGGAAGTCCGCGAAAAATTGACTACTTCGTAAATGCACAACGCACTATTCGACGCCTAGATTAACAATCTCGACTGATTTTTTTGGAAAGTTCTTCACATTTTAGTTGTACTGCCTAGCTTATATAAATAGTGAGACTTTGTCTGGACGCATTATAGAGGAGAACCTTTTTTTTCTGCAAAATGTGGATATGGAAGTCAGGTTCTTTGGGTGTCACTGTGATGTGGATTCTGAAAAACCCATTGTTCACTCTTTGTTCATTAGGATTGCATTCTTCCTGTTATTAAAGATTATTAAAGAAACTTCAAATTTTACTTCTAAATGTTAATGGCAATGTAAATCTTTGATATGCATTGTGACTTTGCAGTCTGAAACTTATGTGGTGTTGAATCGTCTCTGTTTACATTAGACAGACTTGAAGCAATGTTTATGGTTGAACATAGCTTTGATGTTTGCAATCGAATACAGTTTATGTCTTTTTTGGACGTCGGTCACGGAATCTATAAACGCGATTTTCAGTGATCCATTGATCCGCCAATAGAACAGTGATTGATTTATAATTCATATTCATCCAAAATGCAAACCACCAACATTTTGCAAATACTCCATCACCAATTGCTTCTGCTATCTGTCGATTAGTCTCTTGAGTACCTAAGCAGCTGCAGAGATATCTACTGAAGTAAATGATCCAAGCGATACAGCAACGAAAATCGAGAACATCTTCCCAATCATTCGACAGCGGGCGCGGGTAGCTCCATTCTGTGATTCTCTTCCATCCGGTTTCCAACTCGTAGTCTGCGCCACAAATCTGACAGTTCGTATTGTGTGTGACTTCAACCCACTTCTCCAAACTGAGTGAGTTCGAGCTACTGTTCCCTTGCAATGGCACGGGCAAATCAACTTCGACTGCTCTTGGATGTCATCCAAACAGATTCTGCACAGCACTCTCCCATCAGTGCTCGCAGATGGCTTGCTTTCGCTGGAGGCCAGAATTTTCTTGCCACTACCCGCCGTCTGGTGGCAAATTCCGAGTTGGAGGAGCGTTCATGGAGCTTTGTGGCAGTGGTCGTGATCGGCGAACTCAGCATTTCAAATGAGGTTAACCTCGTTTCATGGTTCGTTTTAATAAGATGTTATCAGCTTGCCACTTATCACTGTCATTTCTCTATTGTCGCTCCTTTGTGGTCGTTCATTTGATTTTTCTCTCAATTTCGCTGTCTAAGATTTGGAATGTAATGTTCCTGCTGCAATGACATTTGCGCGGAAGCAAATACAACCAGGGTCAAGCGTGGGGTGTGGCACGCCACACCTGCTCAGACAATCGCGGGGGGCAGGCGGGCAGCGGAAAAATAGATGGCTGATTTCTCGCACCCCACTCGCAGATTTTTTAAAAAGCAATCAGGACTTTTCGGGACGCCACTTGCTGAGTTCTCGATTCCTCAAAGACTCAGCAATATATCTGCAAAAAATAAGCGCGAAAAAAGATTCAACAGGCGGTCTCTCAAAAACTCGCTGACCATTTTTCTGGAATTTGCGAGCGGAATGCAAATTTTTAGCAACGCGTATTTTCCGGCGCCCGCCTGCCCCCGGCATTGTCTGAGTGGGGGTCGTATTGAGGAGTCAAAAGGGGAGTGGGTCGTAGTTGGATGATCTAATCCTACTATAATAACGCGCTAAGGCTGTCTGTTTTTTTGTGTGTCTGTGTGAAAATCTGTCTGTCACGAAATTCAAAGAGGAAGCTGCAACTAAGCTATCGAGCTACAATTTTGCATAACATACCGTGCCAGCGTGTAGGCCCACCATGCACAAGGACGAGCCGGTTCGATCTCAGACAGCGGATCGGACCCCTCCGCCGGAGAAGTGGCAGGGTCGCGGCGTATCCCCAGCGGTGGGTCTCCCATTTGTCCGGCGGAGCCCTCCCATTTTCTGCTCCGGATACCTCCCATTTCTGCTCCGGATACCTCCCATTTTCTGCTCCGGAGACCTCCCATCTTCTGCTCCGGATACCCCCCATTTTCTGCTCCGGATACCCCCCATTTTCTGCTCCGGATACCTCCCATTTTCTGCTCCGGAGCCCCCCGATTTTGTGCGCCGGAGCCCCCCGATCGCGGCATACTGTAATTAGCCCTAATTAAAGGCAGCTTCCAGGCAGATCTGGACCTATGGGGCTTTTACATGGAAAGTACTTTTGGGGCCCTAACTAAGGCACTGCCGAAGCAGCAGCTCAGGTAGTGCTCCAATGGCTGAGATATTCCCCTCGAAACAGACCCCCGCGAACGTACTCGCATGGATTCATGGCAGTTTCGCGCCAGGATCCACTCTTTGCGCCATGAATCCATGCGAAACACGGTCGCGGGGTCCGGTTTCGAGCAGAGTATCTCAGGCGTTAGAGCACTACTTGAGCTGCCGGTTGGGTAGTGGCTTAGTTAGGGCCCCAAAATACTTTCCATGTAAAATCCCCATAGGTCCAGACTTGCCTGGACGCTGCCTTTAAGCTCCAAACCCCAATTTTGTCTCTAAACCCCACCCAAATAAGCCGAATAGGACCCCCCCCCCCCGGGTAGGAGTTTAGCGCGACCCTCACCCCGTACTCTACCCCCTCCCTCTCACCCCTAGCGTTTGTGGATAGAAGATAGAAGAAAGAACGAAGAGATAAGACATTTATTTCAAATTTATCAAACTTTCGAAAAATCTATCTATCTATCTCCAGCATACGTACAACAGTTAATTCATATTACAAAAACCATACTAGGAGTGATAAGAATATTCAAAGAAAAACTAATTTCCTAGTTGCAAAAAGAACCTTGTAACACCACAGTATAAGCATATGGTTTTAACATGGTAAGAAAATGACAAAAAGATCAAAAAAGTATTCTGTGCAACATGAAACAAAACAGCGAGGAACGCCATAAACTCACATTTGCAAAGCAGGGACATATTGTCCAAGTGCGATATATACATGAGCTATATTCATCCAAACATCTTCGAATTCCGAGGTCCAAGGCCATACTGGGGCAAAACGAAAGTAGGATGATTCAACGTAGTTGCTTGATAATAGTACTAGGACACGATGATGACATGGATTGAAATTCTTGCATATGCAACTTACCTTGAACGCCTTTTCATAGTCTCTGTTGAAATGGAAAAACCGCGCAAGAATGTAACAAGCTTCGGCCTTGATTTCGTCACTTTCCGTCATACTCATTGCATGCCACGCTAACCGTTCAACCTTGTTCATTTCCTGAAAAAGTGATGCCTTCAGATAAAGCGATAAACACCTCGATGCAACAGCTTGGACAAATTTAAAAGGTCCCTTTTATAGATAATTCGTAATTAATTCAAAGAATTTCTGCACTGACTCCTTTGAAGAAGAAGTGGTTGGCAAGATGGACCAAGACAACCGGATTCTCCGGCTCCAGACTATACGCTTGGCCTAGACAAGCCACTGCACTTTGGGCTCCCTCGACAGTATGCGTATTGTAATCCAAAATGGCAAGTGCTGAGAGAGCACAAACATTGTCATTTTGCAATTCCAACGCTCGTTCAAAAGCAATTCTGCAAATTGTAATTGAAAGTCACATAAACAGTAAAGAAGAAGCTATGTGACTCAAACATTTCACATTTACATGCTTACCTAGCCTTATCAGTCCCTAATCTCGCTAAGCAATACTGGAAGCAATGTGATGTGACTAAGCAACAGTAACAGTCACAATGCTTCAGTAACAGTCACAAAACTTCAACATCGTTTGGAGTTGCCTCCAAGACTTTTGTCAACATATCTCTTGCCTTGTCCTATCTTTCAAGCCAGAAACGATATAGTGAGGATCTGCAACGTCTGATGAAAAGTCGATCGACTTGGTAAGCATACGTACGAGAGAGATAGTGTGGACCCCGGCCAGCTTCAGGTACTAGCGCGGCGCACACGCAACGCGCGCCCGACTTGAACGCTTCTCATTTCACTTACGAACAAAAAAGCATTATAACCGAAAACAGGAGTGAAATGAGATATGGAGGCCTCTAATCCGAACACGAGAAAAGCCAAGGCAATAGGAGAACCTTCACAACTTCTACTACTAGCGCTCAGATTCCAGTCAATCTCATAAATAACTGGAATCTTCTATTATCCATCGCTAGTAGTGTATGACACTACCAGCGATGGATGATAGAAGTAACAGGAAAAGTCGAAGAACAATTCTGAAAAGTCTTCCTTCTGTTCATAAAAAAACCCAGAAAGTTTGAGCTCAAGAGCACGATTGCAAAGCTCTGATGGTGTAACAAAAGGCTAGAAGCATCTACACTCCACAAAATCAACTGCATATACACTTATTCTGAACATTTGGAGAGATGTCTCTGAACTACACCGAAATCTTCACTATTGAGAAAAAAACAAGATTTTCGAAACAAATGCTTGCAAGACTGTCAAGACTCGTAAAAATCCATCACCAGCAGTTGACGTGTGTCGTTTACATCTAAAGTAGAGATTACAGAAGAGAACAAACACACTTGAAAGAGGAAATTGAAAGAAATCCCTTCAGAGCCGAAACGAAAAGCGCACTGAAGGCATGCGCTGCGGGCGCGCCGCGGAGGTACCTATGGGAACCTGGCCGGGGTCCACACTATAGCAATAAACGGATTATTTAGACGATACTTTCATTACAACAACACTAGATAGTTGCGCAACTAACCTCATTGTTTCGAAAATCCAGAATTAATCACAAAAACCACTCCATCAATAGTCTACGATGTCTCAGCAAGTCAGAAAGAGCCAAACACTGAAGGTGATTGAGTGCAACCGCACGAAAATTTCAAACATAAACCTGAAAACGAGGAACTTACAGCAACAAAAACGCCAACGCGACGAAGAGCAACGCGGAAAAGGAAAAAACGGTAAAGAAACGCGCAAAAACAACAGAATCAAATAAACGGCGACTAAAATATGGACAAAGAGCGTAAACAGAGGACTCATCACCGTGGAGTTAGACGTTTGCTTGCTACGCGCCAAATCGATACGCAGCCTGCTCCGGATACCTCCCATTTCTCCGGCGGATACCTCCCATCTTCTGCTCCGGATACCCCCCATTTTCTGCTCCGGATACCTCCCATTTTCTGCTCCGGATACCTCCCATTCTGCTCCGGATACCTCCCATTTCTGCTCCGGACCCCTCCGATTTTCTCCGGCGCGTGTCTTCCAAATTTGGCGGACACGCGCCGCGCAGACCTCTGCGGCGCGGAGTCCGTCAAATCTGGCAGAGTCGCGCCGGAGAAATGGCGGACCTTTGCAGCAGGGCCGGAGAAGCCTCCCATTTGCCTGCCAGTGATGCCACCGCGATGGACCGCCCATTTGCCCTTCTCTCATTGGTCAACTGGGTCCGGCGCGACCCTGGCAGTTTCCGAGGGTCCGGCGGAGGGGTCCGATCGATTGTCTGAGATAAGCGGGTCCCTCAAGATTCGCGCGTCAAACGGGTCCACGCGCCTTTTGGCACGCAAAACAGAATCGATAATTCGACTTTTTGCAAAGTTGTGATTTGCCTGACAAGTAACTCTGCGCGGCATGAATTCTAGCCCAAAAAGTGCTCAAAAAGTTTGCTTTTTTGCGAAAACAGCGCCAAAAAGTGATGGACGCGTAGATAGTCGATTTGGCAAGGTTTTAT